TCCCAACTATCCTAATGTTTGGCTTTATGTCTTTGAAGTGATGCTTATTTGGTATTTTGATCCTACAAATTATTTAGGATTTAGGACTTATGTTTACACAATATCGAATTGTGCAAATAACCTAAAAAGATAGGAGGATTTATATCATATCGCACGGTGACCTCGGAATCCTAAATTGTTAAGACTTATAATTACGCAACAAAGTTGTGCAAAAGCCTAAAAAAAAGTGATATTGTAGGTTGTGATTTAAACTAAGGAAAGTGTTTATGTGATGTGTTTTGATGTTTTGCTGATCCACCTTAAATTTGTTCCTCGTCGTGCTACCCACGATGTTCGCTCCAAGCTTCTCGTAGTAGCACCTTCTGGTTTAATTTTAGTTTTGAAAATGCACCTAACCACTAGGTTATCCTATACTAAAGCATAGCGTATCAAAGTAACTAAGCATGTAGTATAACAGAAAAGAGCAGTATAACATGCTGACAATATAGTATAACAGGCTATGAGAACAATATAATATGTTGGGAAAATAAAATGTTGTAATATAAATTAAACATGTACACCTGAGAGGTTCATTGCTCATTTAAGTTTAGTTATTATGCGCTGTGTAAAAGGGGATAGTACGACCTGAAAAAGACTTGAGAAGAACAAATAAATTGTAGGAAAAAGATGAACAAATAAAACAAAATCCAATATCACATATAAATGACAAAAAATAGGAGATTTATATGTGATATTGGGGATGTCCCCAATCATCAGGAGGATTTGAGTGTAAGACAAATTCAAATCCCGGAGCATTGAGTTTCAGTTTTGGTCAAGTTAAGGCAAGAATTTCATTATTTGATTTAATTAAATTAGTCATGAACCACAATCTAGTGCACCCTCGTGTCTAGTTTCCTAATAATCTCACAAACTGGGGTCAGAAGTTTGACTTCTTAAATTTATTTGAAAATTAGGATGATAAACTCTCTCTGAAGGTGTGCTCCTAAGACCCAGGAAGCCTACATTTTAGTTTAAACTTGAATTGTCTTAAATTGTCTAACTTCAACTAAGTGTCTTTCAACTAACACTCAAATCTCTTTAGATTAAGCTTAGCTCACCATCAAGCTCCTAAAACCTAGGGGTAAACCTATAGTTTTGGCAAAAGGGTTGTGAAGTGTGCTTCAAACCTAATTAGAGCAATTTGATTTAAGTTTATTCAAAGCTTAAAGGACCTAAGTGCAGGTCTACTAATATTTACAATCTATGTCCCTAATTGTTATCTAAACTCTAATTTTCTCCCAACCCCCAAATATTCTTCCAATTTACAATTTTATCTTTCATATGTAAAAATGAACAGTAGATGATTCGCTATTCTATCCCCCTTTAGGTTTTATCGCCTTGAAGATACAAATCTTATTTTTAATTTTCTTGAATCATTACTGAGAAAAATTAAATTGAAAATCCACATTTTTAACTTGACCGTTAAAAAAAGAAAACAAAACGAACGAAAAGGAGACCGATCCATTTTTAAAACCAGGTCAAATCAGTGAAGCTTAAAATAAAATCATGAATGTATCAGTCTAAAACATTTAAATTCGTTAAAAAGAAAATGATCGGATCAATCCCGAGAAGGATATCATTTCCAAGTGGCAATTTTATGGATTTCCAAACCCAACATGAATTCAATTTATATTAATGTTTCCAACAATCTTCATATGTCATAAAACAAGAAAGACTAAACCATAAGGAATAACTCTCTTTTTAAATCCCCAAATTTATGCCAATACCAATCTCCTTTAACTTCATCTTTAATAAAAAAAAAGAAACTCCCTTTTTCCCTTTTTTTTATCTCATAAACATGAAGTTGTCCTTGTAAATATCCATGACCAAGGCAATAGAAAGAGACAATCACCAGCCTAATTTATTCCACGAAGAGATTACAGGTTGAAGCTTACGGGTAGGGCCAAAAGAGGGGAGGATTCACGAGTAAGGCAAAAAGAGAGGAGAGCTTCACGGGTAATGCAGCAAGGAACACAACCAAACTCCAAATCCAACTCACGGGAAAGGCAAGTCCGAGGACAGTTTTAAAGGTTATGAACACCAAATGAAGCTCACGGCTAAGCAGCAAACCATATTAAGCCAACAAAACCACCAAACCTTTAACTTCATCTTCTCAACAAGGCCAACTCGAACCCAACAGGAAGGACAGGAAGGGGAAAACTGAGCCCCAAGGAATGATCTAAACAGTAGAGTATGTAAGCCAACATAAATCACTAAAAGGAGCCCAAACCGAGCCCACGAAAAAGAGCAAACCGAGCCCAGCAAAAGGGGCAAACCAAGGCCTAAGAAATAATCCCAACAGTAAAACATTTCAGCCCCCATAAATCACCAAAAGGAGCCCAAACCGAGCCCAAGAACATGGCCAACCGAGCCTATCACAAGGGGCAAACCAAATCCAGCAAAAAGGAAGCAAAATAGAAGTATTCCAGATAGATCGAACTCACTAAATGGGTCCAAACAAAGCCATAAAAATTAGATTTTATAAGTTCTCAGACTTTTTTAAAAAAAAAATTTCTTGCACTCCATCCCATGTTTTAAGCATGAATTGATAACATGAAATAGATAAGTGTAATAAATACTTAAAGCCCAAATATTTCTCAGTATTGAAATGAATTATAGCACTTCTTTGATTCTAAAATAACAAGAATAAAAGACCTCAACATTTCATTTCCAACTTATATTTGAATAGGGGGAAACAAGGAAAGCAAGAAGTTCCAACTCTTAAAAGTAATTTCCAGCATATATTCCATCAAGGGCAGCAAGAGAAGCAAGATGTGAGCCCCAAACATGATTTTCCAACTCTTAAAAGTAATTTCCAGCATATATTCCATCAAGGGGCAGCAAGAGAAGCAAGATGTGAGCCCCAAACATAATTTTCCAACTCTTAAAAGTAATTTCCAACATATATTTCAACAAGGGGGCAGCAAGAGGAAATAGAACATAAGCCCAAACATGCTCTTTTCAAATGTATTTCTAAAAAGTAAAATGCATTCCAAGACCACACTAGCCATGTTTACAAGTGTTTCAAGTAAGGAAAAGTAGAGGTGACCCACATATATATGTATATGCTTCATTTCTCACCAACCAAAGCAAATATTCATGTTTAAACCTCAAAATAAACTTTCATACTTCATGCCATCCGAAATAATGCAAAAAAAAAAAAAACAAAGGAGAGGGGAAGAATACCTCTTTCTTGATGCGAATTTAAAACAAAAAAAGGTAAAGTAGCTCCAACTGGTTAATATACTCCCAAAGAAATTCTCCTCCTAAAAGCTTCGGAAAACAATCTAAAATGCTTCCCAACTGGTTAATATACTCCTCGACCGCAATGTGATCATTATCTAACTCCAGGAGTTCAACCAATGCCTCGAGTTTCAGTAAACCCAAAAACAATCTAAAATGTGGACTATTCAGTCCTTGTGCCAGTGCAGTCTTAACAACTGTCGGCTCTAGGTTCCACACCTTGAGCATCTCTTTCTGGAACCTTGTAACATATGTCTGAGTGCTCTCATTTGGTCATTGTTTCACATACCAAAAAGAATCTAAATCCTTTCGTGACTTTTGGGCGCTAGCGAACTGTGCCAAAAACTTTCTTAAGTCTTAGAAGGAATTAATAGTTCTCACGGGGAGTCCGGTAAACCACATGGGAGGGAAATCTCTCAAAGTGGCATAGAACAACAGACACTTTAATGCTTCAGAGATTTTAAGAAGGAGATTATCGACTCAAAGAAAGCAATCTAGTCACCAGGGTTACTCCAACCCTTGCACAATTCCAAGGAGGGAACCTTAAACTTTTCTGGGGGCTGGGGTGAACGCATTCTCCAACCGACGATGGACTTATATCGCTTCAGGTCGCGGTCCCCCCTCTGGCACAGATCTAGCATTGTTCTGGCAATGGAGCACTTCTACTCGCTCAAAGGCTTGGGCCATCAATTGAGCTTGGGCTTTGGGTGCTGGTGGATCAAGTTGCGGGAGAGGCTGCACCCTTCCTTCAAGCAACACTCGGGACAATTCCACAATTTGACAAGCCATCCGATCATGGAATTCTTGAATTAGTTTTTGCACAAATTCCCGAACGAAGTCCACATTGGAGGCTTCTCCTTGATGTGTTCCTTCACCCTGATGTGCTCCTCGTCTTGTTGAAGAAATGACTCCGCGTTCACCACACCTTTTAGGATATTGGATTCTAAATTGTCATATAGATCACACCTAATGAATAGAGCATTAGTCAAAGGAAAGAAAAAAGAGATAAAATAAATAATGCCCAATTTTTTAAAAAAATTTGCAATAGTCCCCCTTTAGTGAAAACACCCTCCTATTTATAAATCGTAGGTGAGGTCTATCAAATTACACGATTATACCCTTAAATGGGGTCGTTACCATCATTTATGAACCGTTACACTTTTACATATTTGTAACTGAATCTGACATATTTTGACCTTATACTAGTGTTGGATTCGTTTCATATTTGTAATTGTCCTTGGCATGACTCCGTATTTATAACTGTCAGATCGGCATTCATTCGGTTGGCCATAAGTTATTCGGTCGGTTGAACGAGCTTCGGCTGCCTTTTTCGAGGAGACCCGTTGGGAAGACTCATTACCCTTGGGAAGGATTATTCCATCAGGCGGAGGATTCATTATCGTAATCTGACGGTCAAACTTCATTTGGCCGATGAGTCCATAAAAGGTGTTTCCTCCAAGAGGTTGCTGACAATTTTCCAATGGCAAATGCCGATTTGTAGGCATCAATGTGGGGTGCGGTGTTCCTTTGGTCGGCCAGTCCTTCATTCGGTTGGCTCTAGAGGTCGACTTGCGTAATGACGAATGATTGTACAACAACCCTCCTCACACCATCCATCAGATTTTCTCAAGATCGATGCAGACGTATTTCTAATGTACAATTTTGGATCTAAAAAATTGTCAAAAGGGGCGCTAAAATGTGAATGGATTGTATCTTACCACCGCAGAATCTTGCTGACTGAGACAACCTTGGCTTCAGCATCGAGAACAACCCCTCCATTCCTCAGAAATACGCGTGCAGCCTCAACAAGTTCTTTGTCTATGTCGTTGGGTGAATAACACCTCAGAGCAGGCCCAGAACGGGTGCCAGATACCAATGCAAAGTGTACCAGCGGTTCTGGGTAGGGAAGAGCCACCTGATTCAAACAAAAAAAGTACTGTGTTGATCGGAGCAATACATCTATCATGAAATTTCTGCTTTCAGCATTAAAAAAAATGAAAACTTGACCGACAATAAAAGGTCAAAAAAAATACCCTAAAACAATAAATAGAGATCTAAGAGCAAGGAGTTTTACAATTATTGATGAAAAAATGCATTATTAATTGTGAACATGTCCTCCAAGAACCAAAGTAGTTTGCACGGATTACTTCCTCTCCCCTTCTTCCCCTCTCTTCGATTCAAGCATCTGCTTATGTTCCATTGTGACTCTATACTAATAAGCTATTTCAAATGATGATTGATGAAAGCTTAGATCTTGATGGCCGTAAGGGCTTCCCACGTATGTTGAAAATCATTACAAAACTTATGCATTTGTAAATGAATTGACGAGCAAAGCCCAAATAATTATCTGCATTTTTTATTATCACGTTTGGGTGTGCTAACATATGTATATATCAGGATTCTAACGGACATCGCTAAGGGCAATCTATGGATATAGCTAAGACAAGTTGATGATAATAATTCCTCCAAAAATTTTGTTTAAAATGTAAGTTTTGGTTTTACAGAAAGGAGCAATACAGGTATCAAACAGTTGGAACCAACTAATCTGGCAAGTGAGCTTATTTGAAAAAACAATGCTTTAGATTGGGAATATTTGAAGATAGTAGAGAATGATTGAAAGAATAAAATATATTGTTGAAAAAAAATTACCTTGGAACGTTTGTCTTTAGGACCAAAAGGCTTGGTGAGGTTGTATGGAGGCCGTTGGTTGCCTCGTAGAACACCATTCTGTATAGCAGATAAGGAGTAGGAGCATCCGCCTATAACATACTTGAAATCTCCTAAAAACTTTTTCCTATCCAAGGGTCCAACAGGGAAACCATATATAGATATGGCATGAATAACCATCATGTTATATAGGTTTATGAAAAATGCAAGCTTTTCTTCCCTTGATAGGATCTCCAAATCAACTCTTTCAAGCTCCTCTATAACTCTTAGGTACCTACCAAAAAATCTAGACAAGTCAAACAACATTTGTATTTAGTTTTGGGAAAGCCATGCTCTTGACCACCATCATCAATTCGTCAATGCATTCCTAATGTGTAGCTTACAGGTAACTGATAGGTCCCGCTTAAGCTACGGCCAACGCTTACAGGGCATCCCTCAGAGAAAAAAGAAGCAATAAAGAAAATATAGAGAAAAAAAAAAAAACACAGTTGGTGTTATAGATAACTCCAGCCAACTCCATGCAAAAAAAAAAAAAAGAAAAAGAAAAAAAGGAGTTAAAACCATCAAAATTAAGCTTTCTTTTATTAAATTCCTCTACTTCACACTTCGTTAAAAAAAAAGAAACTCACCACAAAATCAAGTTATTCAGATGGAGATGCAAATGCAAAATGTAAATTATAAAAAAATATTAAATGCATGATCTATGGGAATCAAATGATGCAGCCAGTTAAACAGAAGTTTGGTAGGAAGAATTGAATGATGGCAAATCAAACCAAAATGTCCACAGATGACAAAGTATATGGGCTTAGATTTAGTCTTCACAAGAGGCCGCAAAAGACCAGAATACAAAGTTTTGGTCAATTCTGATGTCTTCATAGTTGAAGGGTGTCTGCTGAAATTCTGGGTAGAAAAAAAAATTCTGCAGAGGAAAGAAGGCTGCTTAAAGTCATATAACTACTGAGCAGAATGGATTATTTCTGGATAATTAGAAAAGCTTAAAAAAAATTATTGAAAATGAGGGAAAATGAAAGGTACCATCGCAGCAAAGATTAAGTTACAAGCCCACATTTTATTCACCAAGGTTTCACTATTCTCTTTATGGTAAGTTTGAAGCCCACCTTTTGAACTCCTCAGAATGATGAATGCTGTTGTAGTCAACATTATTTCCACCGTCAGATACATAAGCCTCAAAAATACCATAGGACAGCAATCTTAAGTTTGACGAGATTTCAATTATAGGCTTAGGTTGAACATCAATTCTGTCCCTTGAAACATTGTAGCATTGAGTCATTATGGTAGGGTCATCTTCCAAAAAACGATACAAGTGGCTTGCATCTTCAAAGATGTCGTCGCTGCAAGTCAAAGGAAAATGTAGTAATGAAACATAACTACAACTAACAGGAAAAAGTATAGCCCCAAATCAATTCCACAATACAAAAGAACGAAGATATTGCTATTCAAAAAACTTACTCAAGTACATGTCTGAAGAAGTGCTGGCTGAGCAGCTTCCTTCCCAATTCAACCGCCTACATGAAAAAGAGAACAAGTTTTAAGAAAAAATCGAATAACAACTAAGAAACAGGAAAATAAATTCAAATTTCACATCCAAGAACACAAACTATCCTCAACTGTCATGACCTGGTCCGGGTTCGAATTCTTGGAATTTTCAAAGAGAGAATAGATTATCGAACAATGAAATCAATCTTTAAATTTTAATAACTATTATAAATGAAGATTTTTTAATTTTTTATAAATTTAATCCTAATTATTATTATAATTATTTGTATTCACTTGCATAAATCAAACCCTTAAATTCTTCAAGTTAATGTCTAATATTTTTTACAAATTTAACAGTTTTTACTGTATATTATTATTAAGAAAATCATTTAAACATAAATGAAATTTAATTAATTTAGAATTCATTTCCCTTAAAACCTTTAATTAAATCCATTGAAGCTTAATTTGCTCCCGTCCGGTACAGAGAAGGTAAAATTTATGTTAACTCCTATCATCATCACCTTCAGCCACGCTTGTTAGAACATGTTGGTTTACTCAAGCTTGTTATAGCTCCTAGCTTGCGAGTGACATGATAAATGTCATTTTTGTCTGCTGCATGCACATGAATGCACTTGGATGCCCTTTGTTCCTATTTATTTTCGTGCATCGCTGCTCATGTGCTCTGTTCGAGCCCGATGTCTGTCGCTTCCATGCGGAATTATAAATCATTGCTTTATCTTGTGTTGCCCGTGCTTGCCAACAATCAAACTTGCTAAGCCTTCCCAAACTCGTTACTCGATATCGATCACACAAAGATTGATCCCTCAAACACCATCGTCTCCTATCCAGACTCGCCCAATATCCCTTTATTTTGTCTTTGCCCAGCCCTTTGTCTTCATCTTTCGATGCTTTTAATAACCAATGAACCAACCTCCTACCACCTCGATTCATCTTCTGTTGCATCTCCCTTTTTTCTCCATGTGTAACAGCATGAATCCATCCTAGCCGATTCAATATTACTAGACATTACAATCTTCGCCACTTAAAAAAAGTACATCATCCAAACTTGTATACTATGGCTCATTACATATGACTGGGATGACGCATTTGCCAATATATGACAAAAAGGGAAGGCTATGCATTTCTAGAACTATCAGAAAATCACACCAAATAAAAATCACACAGAATGAGCATCAATTTCAAACACGCTTCTAACTTATTGTAGAAAGATTGTTCATGTAAGATGACATTTTAATATACTACTGGCTATAACAGCACTTGATCAATTATTTTCAATATCAATATCCACAAAAATAAGTACTTCAAGCTCTTTATGAGTAAGGGCATAAACTCATAGTCGAACATACTGCCTTGGTTGTCTTTAAGTAGGAGTTGAAACGATTGATTTTATCCTCGTTTGTCCACCTTCAGTCTCCTAAAAATAAGCTTCAATTAATTTTTGTTTCTTGAAAGTCTAATGGCTAAGCACAGCGAAATACTAGCCATAGCCAGTTTGACGATATTGGTAGCGTGTGTTCAAGCTAGCTAAACATTCAACTTTAGGCTATTTTTCATATTTGACAACAGATTTTATGGTACTACAAGTCGTACCATTACTGATCCACAAGAACTATACAAATACTTCTTCTCATTTGATCCTTCTGATAGAGCTACATGGTCGTCTTTATCAATATTTTTTCTCATGCGCAACTCCTTATGCTTCTAAATAAGCACAAAATCACTCTTCACCATTCTAGCCATTCTCACTAATACAAAATACTCATCAATCCACAAAGACACCAACAACTACCTAATTGAATCCTTCAATCCAGATAGGGCAGTTCTATTCGACAGGCAATACCACTTGTGACGCCATCTCGACAATATAATAGCTTCTACCTCATACTAGATGATCACTTATCTCCTTGCACCAATCTAATGAACAACGTCTATCTTAGTGCGGTTAGAATAGAGCGGTAGGTGAATGGAATCTATAGATGTTAAATATGCAAAACTGAGACGAATTAAGTGTTATCGATGAAAATCCACATAAAAAAATTATACAGGTTCACCTTTCTTGTTTCCAATTTAAGAATTAAAAAGGACATGAAAGTATCTATATAACAATATTGGATTTTAACTAATTTTTATAGCCTCATTCCTTAAAATTAGATCTTTTTAAATAGCATGAGCTGTACAACTAGGGTTGTAAACGAGCCGAGCTAGGTCAAGCTCAAGCTTGGCGCTTGTTCGGCTCGTTTAAAATTGGCTCCTGAACAAGATGTTCGTGCTCGCCTCGATTTAAATATTCTTGTTCATGTTTGGCTCGTGTCGGCTCAAAATTGGCTTGTTAAAATTAATTAAAAAAATAGATGCAAAGTGTTAGACTGGAACCTGCACTAATTTTGTGCAATAAAAGTCACAGCACCACATGACCACACAAGTTGTTATATATATATATATAATGACGGACGACTGCTTTGCTAGGGTTTTGAATGGCGATCGTCATTGATTCTGTCGCTCGACCTTTCTGCTTCGTCGGCTCGCGCTCGCCTCGTCAGCGTTCTGCTGCTCGACGTTCGCCTGCGTCTGCTCGACGAGTCTATCTCTCTGCTCAACAAGTCTGCTCGGCGTCGCTCAGCGCGGGGTTCGTCTGCTCGATGACTCTCGAAGCTTCACGTTTCCGTCTGCTCGTGAAGCTTCTCACTGTTCCTGCCGCAGCAACTTTGCTGTAGCTTAACTCCGACAGCTCTCCTTGCTCTGATGGCGCCTCCTTGTTTGGTTTAGCCGGACAAAGTTTTTTTTGCTCACGTGGTGGGTAACCCTCAAGTAGAGTCCACAGTGGTACTCCCCTCAAGATATAAGGAATCTCGTAAGAGTACAAATGATTGTCTTTTTATTAAAAAGAAAAGCAGGAAAGGCGAAAAATATGCAATCTTTTTTCTCTGAAACAGAAATTTCTACCATGACGGAAAAATTCAAGTTTGCTCTTATTGAAAAATTTCAGTGGGGACTTTTTCTCTGAAACAAAAATTTCTACCATGACGAAAAAATTCAAGTTTGCTCTTATTGAAAAATTTCAGCGGAGACACCCTCCTATGAAGGTTATCAGAAAAAGTGTTGATGATCTTAAGCTAGTAGGCAAGTGGAAAGTGAAACTCATAGATAGGAGACATGTGTTGATCCAACTAACAGTGGCCGAATACTACACCAGAATTTTTTTCAAGAAATATTTTAATATCGAAGGCAAATCAATGAAGTTGCTCAAGTGGTCTCCTAATTTCGACCCAAATTATGAAACTCTCACTGTACCTGTATGGTTTAGTTTACCTTGTCTCAAGCTGCATTTTTTTCACCATCAGGTTCTCTACTCTATTGGGGTCATCCTTGGGGATCCTTTAAAACTAGATCTGCCCACTTTCAATCTAACTAGACCCTCGATGGCCAGAATACTTGTGAAAAATGATATTAATTTACCAGATGTTACTGAAGTCTGGTTGGGCACAACCTATAATGGTTATTGGCAACAAATCGTCATGGAACACAAACCTCCATATTGTACCCACTATAAGATGTTTGGTCATATCCTTGTTAAATGCCACAAATTTCATCATAATTTGAAATCTAAGGGTCAAGTGAATAAGGATGAGTTTAACCCCACTGCTGTGGACATTTTAGTTCCACCTGAGGATGATATTACCAGACATGAGGTGTTTGTTGCATCTAAGGACCCTCCTATGACACTGTTGTTACTGTTACTGCGAGTGATGTGATGTTGGCACCTACAAACTCCATACAAAACAATTCTGATGGACTATTGCCTATAAATGATAGTTTTCAGACCGATAATCATGAGAACCTCGCAGCTCCACTTCTTCAAGAAGTAACCGGTGTAGCGGCAACTCACACTTTTCATATTGTAGAACCTTGTGGGTACTAACGTTCCTTCTGATTCAGCATGACTCTATCAGGCAGATTCTTCGGAGGAGTAATGACAGTGAGGAATGACAAGTTTACACTTCCAGGAGGAAGAAGAATAATGGAGATCTACTAGAACTCAGGAGTCTTATGAACGATACTTTGGTTACTACGGGTAATGGTCAGCACTTTACCAATCTGCTAGCTGGATCACTACCGATAACTAGAGCCAGATGCAAGACTAGATTGGGATGACCCACACTTTTCAACACCTGGGTGATTTTTGGGTTTCTTTTTATTTCTATATATACCCATCTTTTACATTTTTTTTGTGTGTTGTACCGTGTGGGTTGGGTGTTTAGGCCCACCCATACAAACTTATCTGTATCTTTATCTTTAATATATCAGCCCTTAGATTTTTTTATTTATATATATATATACATACATATACATATACATATCTATATACATATACATATCTACTCGGCTCTGCCTCTGCCTCTGCCTCTGCCTCTGCCGTCTACAACAGAGCTGTTCGACACTCGTGCAGCTTCTCATTGTGTTGCAGTTTGGCACTGGCTGCAGTAATGACCTCAGGGCTCCTACGCCGCGGCCCTCGCCGGTGATAATTCCGCCAAACCCTCCTATGCTACAGTGGTTCACAAATGCAGCTCCCCTTTTCACCTTGCAGATAGTGCGGTATTCCTGCAGATTTACCATGATTTTGTTGCAGAAAATGACGATTGCAATCTCATAAAAAAAACAGAGAAAAAGGCGAGCAAACCGGCAATTTTCTTTTTTGACGCTGAAATTTCAAATCGTGCAGGAAAAAATAAATTTACACTAGTTTGAAAGTTCCAATTAGGTTGCCATAAGATTGAGATCATCAGAAAGATTTTTGAAAATTTCAAATTGGCTGGGGATTGGCAGATGGGTCATTTTGACAGAAGCATGTTATGATACAGTTGAGCACAAAAGATGATTACACGAGAATTTTCTCAAAGAAATTCATCACAATTGAGGGCAAACATATGAAATTGCTCAAATGGAACCCCAATTTTGATCCCAGTCAAAAACCCCTAATTGCACTTATCTGGTTCTCATTACCTGA